CGTGAGCATTCATGGATGAGCAAAACGCGCCGGAAGTCCTACTTACTGTCCGCACTCGCTGCTTAATGCGGGCTTAGAGTGCTTAACTCGTCATGCATACATTAACATCTGTACTTCTATTATGTGTATGTATGCTGGTAATTATTGAAATGTGCTAAGGTATTTGTGTGTGTGCGTCTCTGTACACTCTAAATATCAACAAGTACTGTTTATCTTACAGCTAACTAAGTAGCTGCCCAGTTGTTCAAGTGTGTGTCGATGGCGTGATTCAATTAAGTGCTCGGGGTATTAAAATGTAACGGATATATACATAAATAAAGCAATCGGAAATAGAGCAATCGCTGTATTGGCTGAAAGCGAGAAAATATTTCAAAGAAATAAAAAATATTGAGTATAAGGATATATTAATGGGGTTTCTCATTTATTACAAATTGTAGTAAGAGAAAACGATTGCATTTCAAGTATTTAATAGATAGAAATTTAGTTTAGGTATATAAATAGTAGATGCTGTCTTGAATTCAACCAATATTAACTAGCTATAAGGATAAAGGAATTAATATCTTAGCAAAAATAAGTGAACGAGTATTGTTTAATAATTAAATACATTTATGAAGCTGCAAAAGGGTCGTGCGGTCATCACCGAATAAAGAATTATAACGGGTGTTTTTTTCGTGGCATAGAACTTTAAGTTGGCATTACTGTTCAAAATGGCGACCGATTTAACAGCTGTAAAGTGGTTTATTCCGTACGTACTTCTTCAAAAACGATGATGGCCAGAACGTTACAGTCAATGGTAATCGGTATAGAGCCATTATTACTAACTTTTTCATTCCTGAATTGAACAACCATGATGTCTAGGAGCTGTGGTTCCAACAAGCAACTGTCTCACAGTTCGTGTCACAATCGATTTATTGAAAGACACGTGACCGCCTAATTTCACGTTTTAGACCTGTGTATTGGCCTCCAAGATCTTGTGATTTAACACTGCTAGACTACTTTCTGTGGGGTTATGTAAAGTCATTGTTCTATACGCATAAGCCACAAATGCTTAACCATTTGGAAGACAACATTCGCCGTGTTATGTTGAAAAAAGTCATCGAAAATTAGACGTCCAGATTGGACTACATCCGAGCTAGCCAATGTAATGCCACAAGATTATTTTTCGGATAATTAAAATTCACGTAAATTGAATAATCCATCGTTGTTTTATTGCAATTTAAAGTTCTATACCTCTAAAAAAACACCCTTTACATATTATTTTCAAGTTTTATTAATAACTATCATTAGCATCCGAAAGTAGCTGTTAGATTTTTTTCAGGCTGTAAGCGAAAAAAATATCACATTAAAGGCGCTCAGTGAAAATGCATTAAGTTTCTTCTAAAACCTCTTTTTAACGTGAATTTCGTCTGAGCCACTTGAGCTGTGGCTATGTGTTATTCGACGAATAACTTCTGAACTTCGTATTCGCGATATTTAGATTAAGAACAACCTAAAGTGAGATATATAATATATGAAATAAACTGAACCAAAGGGGCTAAATTTGTTATATTGGCTGAGTGGTGACACTTACACGGTCACACCAAACGGGATAGCACCACACGAGTTAACACTACACATGATGACACTTTACGCCACCAGAAAACAAAAACAAAGGTCCCCGCAGCTGATTCACCTCATTCGATAAGAAAACGATCTTGTGCGCTACGGGCAGCAACATTCAATTCCATGTTCATTGTACATATGAAAGATAATACATTTTGATCAACATAAACGGTTTAACTTCAAGGAGAAAGTCGAAAAATATTATATTGAATACGAGTATATGTGGCTTAGGTCAAGGAACGGACTGATTGCATTAATTTTTGGCATTGCTCAAGTATAAGTACTCGAGAACATGTTTCTACGCAATTTTATGAAGATAACACACACAGTGGTATATCGGGGCTATGGTTAGTATTGACCAATTGCATTCATTTTTATCACGACATATTATTATCAGAAAAAGGTGTTATCTAAGTTTCATTCAGATACCTCAAAGATGGACCAAAAAATATGGTATAAAGGCAACCGGATGTTTGAAAATCTTTATATTAACATAGGTATATGGGTGCTATGGGACCCATTCGACCCCACGTGATCCCATTTTCCCCTTCTTTGACAGAAGAACCTACTGTTATCATAAAAAGATTCGCTCCGAATTTGAATAATACCTAAATCTCACAGATTGACTGATATTTGCGGTAAAAGGTCGGCCAAAGGCTCTGGGGTGGATTTATGCGGTATCTGGGTGTTTGAAATTTCGGCTATTTATAGACATAAGATTGAATGTCGTAAAAGTATTTTTGCTATTGCGTAAAGTCTTATTTCGATAACGTTAGTGACTGTCGATTTATATACTGTAAAATTAATGAATATGATGGACGATGGAATTTAAAATTGGTAAAGGAAAATAGGGGTGTTTGTAGTCTGTTTTATCCATTTTTACAGAGGTGCTAAAAAATTTGTCCTGAGCGAGTTTGGTTAATAGAGCTTAAGAAGTTCGTGAGATATATATATTCAACTTATTATGAGTTTGGACCACGCCCAATTTAAAAAAAAAAATTCAAACTACCATTGCCTCTCTTTACTGTAATTACCGTTTTAAGATATCTTAAGTTTTAGTGACGGAATAATATCGAAATAGATTTTGTTGGGAAATTTGTATGACAGAAATACGCTCGGAGATTTGCCTTTGCAGAGATATGTGTTTGGATAAAGGTAGTTGAGGAAAGTAAGTCAGAACTCAATTATAATGGACATCTGTCAATATTTGGTGGGGTAGGTACACAATTTTAATATTTTACAAGGTTGAGTTATACATTTTTTTGTCGACCAATTTTTTACTTCGAAAAAGCAGCTTGTTTTTTATTAGTGGTTGACAAATTCATTCCCGTCGGGTCAATGAAGTCGACATAATATTCGTTGGGGCTCCAGTGATCCTAATTTTAGTTTATGTTTGCCCTTCTTGAGCAAAAATGGTAAATTTTCCATAAGGATTGCTCTTCACTACAGTAAATATGAATACCCCATAAGGAAGCGCTCATATTGCAGAGGAAGGTGAAGTTGCCGCTTTTAAGTCCACATGCATGAATTAAACAGTTTAAAATTTTACTTTCAAAATTGTAAACAATAACACAGCAAAGTGCACGAGCATGTGCAAAGTCGAATGGGAAAATATTTATCTGGCCCGATAACCCAGAGCTTTTAGTGCAGCCATTTTGCAGTGCAAACAAACGAACAAAGAAGCAAACATACTAGCAGATGTGCTGCGATGTGGTACAAGCAAAGTGGCAAACAAAAATGTGTATCGCAGCGGAACAAAAAACAAGTGCCCTCAAGGACACTTGCCAAACGCGCACGGAAGTCGAAACTTGAGCAAACGTGCAGTGCAGTAGTAACAACAAGCGCCTACGAGTGTGTGTACAGGGGCGCTTCGCGTAATGCCAATATACTTGTATGCCAATTTGTAGTGTAAGTGCGCGCGCGTCCAAAAAGCGACTATAAATAGGCGACTGCCGCAGGGCCACAACTGTAGTTGTTTTCGCAGGAGCTGCACCTGCAGCAGTGAAGCGCCGAAACGAATGCAACACCGCTTTTAGCTCCAAGACAACGCGCGCGTCAGTCAAAAACACCGTTAGCACCTAAATAATCGTAAATAGGTGGTGCGCCTACGGGTAGGTATTGATTTCAGGCGCGCACACTGTGCGCTTCCTTAGTATGAGCGTGTGTGTGTGTGCGCTCGACTATAAATGACATGGTAAGCGCCGTACCAGGTACCAGGCAGCGCGTTCATGTTTAGCTTCTGACTGCTGACTTTTTCCATGAAATTTCCTAGTTTGTCTGGTTGGCGGCGCGAAGTTTTGCCTGTGACGCGCCAGTTGTTGTTTGGCAACACTTGAGCAAAGCATTCATTTCCGGCAGATTTATTTGTTTCCTGCGAACTTTGTAAGCGCATCGTAAACCCTTCAGCCATCCATTCGTTCTCCACAAATTCGCATCTCGCATCGTCACACACAGTTTGAAATGAGTGTTTCCGCTGCATTTAATGTGCAATAATCCTTTAGTGTGGAAGTGTCATAGATTCAAGTGTTGCAGCAGCTGCGTTCTAGTGTGCCACAACGCGTAGACTGTAGACGCTGTGTGCATTTGTGTATGAGCGCAGGTGCCAAAATGACAACCAGTGATGAATTTTGCCGCGATCATTACGAGCATCCATTATTGTGGTGCGACGACAAGAAACGTTTGGTGGAGCGTAAAAACGCGGAGGAGAGTATGCGTATGTGGCGGCGTCGCAAGGCTGAGGAAGTGGCGCGCAAGGAGAAGGACAAAGCTGAGGTGAGTAATTGATTGCTTATGTGAATTTGTAGTGGCGAGTTTTTCTTGTGTACAATTTTTAATATGCAAATTTCAACGAAAACGCGGAATTTGTCCACAAATTTAGAAATTTTCAATATGTTCATTAGCTGCAACTATTTTGACTCTGGCGAATACAAAAAAAAAACTTGACTTATGTAATTTACAAATTAAATAGCCTCAGAATGCCCTTTAATTGAGTCAATTTGCAATTTGACTTCATTATTGCAATTAGACAGTAATTACTGAATTGTCTGAGTGAATAGTTATCAAAACATTGCTTAATGATTTATTTCAGAGCCTGACTGATACATCCATTACATTTTAGGAAACAGAATGGAATAATTTTGTAACTTGATTTTGTACCGAGAGAGTTCATTATTTATTTAAAAACAAGTAAAACATAAACCTCGGTTGCACCGATGATATAACACCCTTTACAAATACAAAAGTTACCATACAAGAACTTGATTTTAGTCGGCATACGATATAACATGTTAGTAGTTCGATCTAAACAATTACTTCGGAGATTATCTCGTTGCTTTTAGCTATTATTCTTGCTAAGTTTCGTGAATAAATCTCTTAAAAAAAAAAAGTTTTACATATAAGACTGGATTTTGACCGATCAGTTTGTATGGCAGCTATATGGTATAGTGGTCCGATATAAGCGGTTTCGACAAATTAGTTGTTTGTTTAGTAGCAAAATTTCAGATCGATATCTCTAAAACTAGCAACTTAGTTTCCGTATTTACAGACAGACAGACGGACAGACAGGTGGACATGGCTAAATCTATTCAGCTTGTTGCACTAATCACTGCGTATACATTTTATAATTTTTTCAGCATATAACAATACGGCTCCGATTGTATACATTTAGTTGTAGACCGGATAAATAATTCAAAAAACTTCTCATAAATAAGCAGACTGAATTTCTCTGGATAAACCTGCTTCAATAAAATTACGATTTTTGGCTATATAATAAAAGCTATATAATCCATGATTTAGGTTCTTAATCAATTAAGTATTTTTGGGTAAAAACCCAACGGCTACCGCGCTCATTCAACTTCTATTAAAATGTGTATGCTTAGCTTCAAAATAAGGTCTCGACGATAACCTCTTCATTGTCACTAAATTTTTTTGAAGCGAATATTACTTTGAGATCCGGGAACAGAATATAGCTGCAGAAAGAAAGAATATGGTGGAAGTGGAATATACTTATTCACCTCAATTTGGGTTAACTTTCGGCATTTTACGCTTCAAGCGTTGGCTGTTGTGTCTTTACGTGCTTTGGATTCGGTTCATTGCATACAGTCGAAATGATGATTCGATTGTCATATATTTGTATATGGTATATACATATCCCAAGCGACCAGCTCTAAGAACTACTAAAACTGATTACTGAGGCTACTTATGCCCAAATGTCCGGATTTGTCCAACAGGTTCCTTAGAGCATCAAATACCTCGAATAATCTCAATTTATAGTTATCCAAAGTTATTGTGATTATTTTCATTTCATCAGTAACATTCTCTTTTAGATGTTCACAAGGTTTATTATCTACGGAGCTCGTATGGTCGATAGAAAATTTAACAAACCATATGGTCGGTTGCCAATATTTATCCACCCACTTTTTGGTGACGGTAGTGTTTATTTTATCAAACTATTTATATTAAAAAAAGATAATCTATTGATACTCAGAGAGTCAGTTTTGGTGGGTATCTAGGCTAAGTTTTACCGAAATAAAGCGTGGTCATGCACCTTTTCTGTTCAGTAAATAATATGCTATGTTTTTATACTGAGGTTTGTTAAACCGAGAATTAGAAGCGCTTATGAAATATATATGTAAATAATCAGCGTGATCAGCGTCGATTTCGCTATGCCCTTCTGTCTGTATGTCTGTCTGTCTGTCTGTATATGCAAACTAGTCCCTCAGTTTTTAAGATATCGACCTGATATTGCGCACGCCGCTTACTCCTCAAGAAGCTGATAATTTTTTGGAACTGATGATATCGGACCACTGAAGCATATATCTGCCAAACAAACTGAACGATCAAAATCAAGTTATTGTATGGAAAACGTTTTTATTTGTGAAAGTTATTATGGCTTATATACATAGGTATGTATATACCTGAAGTTAACCTTTTTTTTGTTTGCATACAATTAAGCAACAATCTATCTCAGCAAATGAGGTTAACGACCCGATATGATTAGGAACCCCAATCCAAATGAAAATTAATATACAAGTTATATAAAACCATCTAAATAATTGGAAATCCAAGCGCTTAAGCGAATTCAGCAATGAAATATTGCCATGCAATTTGCAAGCAATAAAACCAGGAAGTCAGTGGCTGCCAAGTCGGCCTGACAGTGTGATTTCACTTGACTTGTCCCGGCATTGCTGTTTGGAATAGTTTAGCATAAATAGCGGCGCGCAAACGTACAAATTACCCAAATATGAAAGTCGGCAGAAATCGTAGGCCAAGAGCCAAGCGCGAAGAGCCTACCACAATAAAGGCGAGCAACGAACTCAAGCAAATATCGCGTGACTAGGAATTCCGAACTACTTCCTAGTTTTTGTGTTAGTATAGGTGTTTGTAACGGTTGTTGATAATGAAGTTGCTGAGCGACATGCTAAAGACAAATAAGTTGCAAACGGACTGGTGGAAAGTACGTATATATATATTGTATAGAGGTAGGCAAAAAAAAAACATAAATATATTTTACTGTTGTTGTTGTAGAGCTGTTATTTAGTTGCAACTATAACAACAACCTATAAACGAAACTAATTCTGGCATTTCATTTAATAAAAATAAAAATACATAAAATTAAAAAAGTAAAAGAACTTCAGGAGGGTTGAGGAAGCACGTGCTTCTGATACTAACGGTATATGTGTAGTGAAATATAGTGTACGTTGCAAAAGACAGTTGCCGCGCCTGAGAGCAGACAATAACTTTGCGCTTGTGCCTATATTTCCTCATTAAATCGCAACGTTGGAGTGTGAGAGTGTCTGGCAGAGCTTTTCGACTTTTTCTGTGCCACAAAAGAGTTTCGCAGACTTTTGCGCGTTTTTGTGAATATTGTGATGTAGTATGTATGGGTGTGTGTTTGGGATCGTATTGTGGTGGTAAGAACTTTCCGAACGCTGCAAATGCAGAAAATATTATTAAATGAATAATAAAATAAACAACAACAAGTTGTGTATCACTGACCTAGTTAAGATATTTCGCCTAGTTACACGCACACAAACATACAAACACAGTTTTGCAAAACGTAACTTTTCTGTCATCGCAGTACTACGAACTCTCCGTTAAACATTACCCCTGGGGTCGTCCTGGTGGTGGCGCACCAAATTTGGATATCAGACGCAAGGATATCACAGCCGTTGGCCTACATTCCACGCCCACAATTGTAAATATTTCTTATAAAATAAAAAAAATATACTATATTTTTATAAAATTGCCTACTTTCTTCCAGAGTACCATGCATCGCCTGAACTGTTGGCAACCCTGTCGCTACAATGACTACTTCTCGCAACGTAAAAAATGCCATGACCCCGCCACCTGTTATCATCATCATCTACATCATCACATCCCACCATTACCGCCTGCACCGCCACCAGCACCGCACGTCACCACGCACACACACACTGTACAAACCACCACCGATGCTTGTCATCCGGGCGCCGGCGGCGTTCTGACCGTTTGCGAGCGTAGCGTTGGAGATGTTGGTGTTGGCGCAAAAGCTGTTGGTGCCACCAAGAGCAATGTGACCGGCAGTAGCAGCGTTGGTGGCATTGGTGTTGGTTTGGGCGCCACAAAAAACGGTGAGACCTTGCATATAACGCTCAAAGATCATCCATCTATGTCATTTCGCAATAAAGGACATCTCGACATTGAGGTACGCTATAAACCGGGTGCTGCCGGGGGTGGTAAGGGTAAGCCGTTGCTAGAAAAGATTGTAGTATCGGATAGCGATAAGTGCCCGTTGGTGGAAGGTGTACAGTCGCAATCGTTGTTAAAGGGTTCGCCACGCAAGAAGAAGCTCGTCGCCAAGCTGGAAAAGCCGGTGAGCTGCAGATACTTAACTTACAACGCAATGATATTATTTGTTGATTTTCTTTTGTGTGTGCTTGTCTCTCATTTCAGCTGAGTAAAGATCCCTGGGGTAAGGCAGGGCCTGGCGGCAAACCGTGGCGCAGTCCGAAAGCGGCGGGTAGCACCTTTATGAAATCGCTGGTGAGCTTAAAAACTCATAATATTGGTTTAAGAAAACGAAATCACTTATATTCTAATTAGAAGCTTAGACAAATTTGGTTAGACTCAAGACTTCAGTGCTCGAAAATAACTAAGAAAATGAATGTTAGTCTTTACATCGTCAAAATTCTATAGTATTCACTGCGATGCTTTTGAAGCTTTCATGTTAAATTTTTTTCTTAAAAATGCTCTTAATTTTTCTACACTTATAGAAGTGTATTTGGACCTGTCTAACAGTTGTAAATGAAGGAAAATAAAAACTCGTTTTTTCGAAGCTTTCATGCATAATTTTTTTTTAAAGCTTTTAATTTTTCTAAAATGTGGAAAGTCTTTTTCTAGAAAGTGTTTGAAGCTTTCTTGCATAACTGTTTTCTTAAAAAGCTCTTAATTTTTCGAAACTTTCTAGAGTTTATTGGGACTGATGTAGCGGTTGAACTTAATTTGAATATAATTTACGGCAAGTCTTGTGCGAGAAGGTCTGTTTTAGTAGCTTTGTAGGAACAGGTCGTTGGTTTGATTTACTATTACTTCCATGGTAATATGAGTGAAGCTGACATATCGGTTGATATTCAAAGCTCACCATGAGATATCCTGTTTATTCATCTAGTAGTACAATGTAAGAGATTGTCCCTTTGACATCTTGCCTTCAGGCTTTCGTACCATCCTTGAAATAAATCTATAGTTATCTGAAGTGTATGGTTTTATAAACTTAATAGTCTATTCCGAGTCCTTTTTGACAAGTTTAGAACAAATATAGAACTCGGGATTCAAAAATGTTTAGGGCTCTCCAATTTGTGTTTCAATTATGACCTTAAAATTATTAAAAAGCTATTAATTTCAACGAAATCCCTTTTCTGCAGGGTTGGACCAACAAGGAGATGCTGAAAGATCTCGATCAGGATAATCCCGTTACGCCGGCCGAGAAGCCAACATTCCGCAAAGTACGCACCAACAAAAAGGTACAACGTTGCTGTGAGCTCTGCATTTGCACCTGCCCTGGCATGGTTACCAATAAGGGGTGTGGTGGTGGCGTTGCTGCCATGCGGACATTGAAAAAGCCACATCAAAGCTCACCTAATAAAGGCCAAAGCCATACTACTACAACAAATCCACAAACAACAACAACAACTGCCGCTATAAAACAAAAACACTGCCCACGCTTTGTACGCCATTGTGAAGCGACTCTGGGCACTAGCAACACGAACAATACCGAACAGACCAGTGCCAATACGGGTGGTGAGGGCGTGGAATTGGTGCCATTGTTGGCACGTCGACGCGCCAATGCACGTCCTGTTAGCCTTTCCAGCACGGATGTGACCAAGCGCACCGCCTTCAAAGATAGGTACGCATGCAACATGATTACTCGTAGCAAATATCTGCAACATTTGCAACAACTACACTGCAACAATAGCAATAATACCAATATCAACAATATGAACAACAACAACAATAATAAGATTAGCAGCAGCATTACCAAATGCAAAATCAAACGCAACATTGCCAATAAAATTTGTAATCTTAGCAATGCGCTCAGCCACAACAACAACAGCAATAACATTAACATCATCAATAGTAATGAAAATAGTAGCAGCGACACTTCATGTTGCTTAAAGAAATTCACTTTGCATATACGTTAAGCTTTTTAATAACGTCGGAGTTATATTTACGCTTTCGCTAAGCTTTTTATCGCGATGAAGATAATGTTTATGCATTCGCTTAAACGGTTTTTGAGGTGTTATCAATGCTGTAACGGGTTTTAAATTCTTGGAAGTCGGTGAATTATAGGTGGAATGGAAGTTATCGAAACGCCTTTCATTTGGTTTACTCTTTTATATATTCCGTTACATACTTACTGAATTAATATAGGTTTATAATTCATTTTAGGGATAGTCGAGCTTTACATTAATTTTACCAATAATTTGTTTAAGAAAGGTCGACTAAGCTTTCATAAAAAAGCTTTTAAGATTGAGCTTTCACAAAACCTTTCGGAAACTTTACTTCGCAACTATCTACTAATACCTCTATCAAATTAAGAGTGAAAAATTTTCACAACTTCGAACTAAGCTTTTGCTTGGCGAAGAAAAGTAGGTTAGAAAAAAACTTTGCCTAATTAAATAATGGAGCTTTTTCAATATGCATCTATTTGTTCAGCTAATAGCTTTGTAGCTTTATTAATAGCCTCTTCGAGTCTTGTAGTATATTGTGGACAGACTAAGTGCTTATATTTATTCGCTTAAATCAGGAATTTTGCCGTCCAGAGCTTACATTGGTCTTTTTCAAAGCTTTTTTTTGCAATGATAGTTAAAAACTGCCCAAACTTGATAATAATTTTTATTGGAAGGAATATTGCAATTGTTGCTGAATTTTATCACTGAGTCCTGTAATTAATAAAAGGTCATATTTTGCTTATCAGAGCTTTTAAAGCTGATTTGAAAAATAGCTTTGTAGCTTTACTAATAGCCTTTTCAAGTCTTGTTTGCATATCGTGAGTAGACTTCACAATGGCGTTTCAAGCAGACTAAGTGCATTCAAGCTTATATTTATTCGCTTTAATCATTATATTGAACATTTTTAAAGCTTTTCAGACAATGAAAATGAATAACACTATAAAACTATATAATATAATAATTATTATTTAAAGTTATATTGCAACGCAGACTCTCAGCAATTATTTAATTATTATCGGTAGAGATTTTGTCTTGCAGAGCTTAATTTAAGCTTTTCAAGCAATGATGATGAAAGAAAGAGAACAAATAGACGAACTAAAAAATATTGCTGTCATTACAAAACGAAATTTGCTATATCATACATACACAATACATCAGTACATCACTTTTATACATTTTATAGATATTATCATACGTAAACATATAAACATACTCGTATATCAAAATCATGTAGCTTAACACATAACTAAATACTGGACACAAAAACTTGACTTATGAATTTTCTAAATACTCAAAACTAGCGTTGCTTATTGGTTTTTTCATTTGTTTAATTTTTCGTAAAATTACAACAACAAAAACAACAGAACTATTTCAATTGTAATCAATGTGAAAGTATAATAAAATATAGAGCAATTAATTTAGCTGCAATGAAATTCAAAACGGTAGCAAATAAAATTAGAAATTCAAAGCAAAACAAAAATGCAATAAAAGCAAAGAAAAAACAAAAAAAAGCAAAAGCTAGTCACAGCCAAAGCACTGATGCAAACTACATATATACCGTCTTCTCTGTACTCGCCAACTGCCAACAAACACCAAACATCTATCAACACTAACAACAACAACAACACAACGATTCGAATGAACTACATCGATTTCCGATGACTTCCTTTTGGCCAAAATCACTGCCGTGCTGATGTGTCTTTGCTGGGTATATGTGTGTGCGTGTATGTGTGAGCAGACTTGCCACCGCACAAGACATTCGCTATCTGCACGACTTGAACACACAAATGTCCGTGAAGCGACAGACGACATGCGCGGAGCAGCAAACGAGCGCGAACTTTGCAGCAAACACTTCGAAACGTTCGACACCTTTTGGGTCGGCCGGGACACGGAGCGCCGGGGAGGTGACGGCAAAGCAGAAATTGGACAATTTGCTTTATGGCGCCAGCAGCGAATGCTGGAATTGAGTAGCGGCGCCTCACCGTTGCCGGAAAGAAGCAAATCCAGTGCATTGACGCTTCGCGTGACGCGCTGGAGTGAGGAAGGATAACCATTAGAAGAAGGAGAGGAGAAAGAACACTGAAACACTTTAAATTGACTTTTGTTCGAAAGATTTGTTACTTAAGCAAAAAGTTGTGCAATTCAATTACTTTTTATCTTGCATAAGCAGATACATATGTACATATACATATATGTGTATGTGTGTGCGTGTGCATTATTTGTTTTTAATCGAAACGAAAGCGAAATGTCATGGCGCGAGAAATTTTGTCGATTTGCCAGGTTGCAAGTTACACAAAGTTGAAACGAAAATGTGGAGATGATCAGGAAAATGGAATTAATTTTATAAATTAAGTTGCCTTAAATGTTATTTAAATTTTTGTTTTCACGTAAGATATGTTTCTGTATCACTTAATTCATTTTTTCTACTAAGCTGTAATTTGTAGTTGTTGTAAATTTCAAAGCTGGCTTTCGCTGTATTATGTAAGTCAAACGGTTGGAATTTCTAGAAAATTAGCTAAGAAATTATTTCAATTATATTAAATTGTATAATTTATAGTTATTGACGCATGGGCATAGATTAAAGTAAAATACATTTCAGACAAAAAATTTCATGTAAATTGTAAATATACTAATTTGTCAATAAATATCAAATGTTAAACTAATATTAAAATATTTTTTCATACCCTGATCATGGTATATTGAGTTTGCTATGAAGTTTATAAAACTTAGAAGGAAACGTCGGGACCTTATAAATACAAGACCTTATCTTGTATATAAATAAGCAGCTGAGCCGATTTAGCCATATCGGGTCTCTCTGTCTAAACGGCATTAGTCCTTTAAATAATTATCGTAATAAAATATATTTTTTCCTTATTAAGTAACCTTATGTTAACTCGACTTGAAGGTTGGTTACATCAAACAGCGTGGCTAGAAAGGACTAGAGAAACGTTTTTCTTGGATGAATTGGCCGTTTTCCGTTTTCAGATTTAATTATACATACAGTTGCTATGAGAAAGCACCTATGAAAGGTGCAGCAAAAATTTTTTCCTGTTTTAGTTATAAAAAATCTATAACCATTATCGTCCTATTCAAGTAAAGTGAGCTCGGACTATATTTAAAACCGAAAAAAGAGCAGTATGTCAGTAACAATAGTATTAACTAGTTTTGGAGTATATGAAATTAATTTGTTAAATCCGAAAATCGATTCGGAAAGCTTCTCATTCATTAAAATTTATCACAGTATGAAAGGTTTTGTTATTCCTTGAATTCTTAACATATTTCATATTTTGCTTATTACTGCGCTTAAATCCCACATAAACATACGCTCCAAAACTACCACATTTAGATATATAAATTAGTACTGTATAATATAGTACAATATATATAAATCAAATAAAAAATTTATATTTCAAAAACTGTTAGACCGATTTAACACAAATGAAGCACAGGGTATTCTCTTGACGTCCTCTTAGAACAAGAGCGGAAGAACCAGAGACGCGCCTACTTCTCATATACAGCAGTTTTAAATCCTAACATATACCTAATCTATGAATGTCATTCCCTTACCATGAGTTTTATATCACATATCGTGAATAACTATGACAGTACACGGTATATATTGTCAGTGGACCTAAATCATTTACTATTTATATTTAACATATACTGGTAGGTAACAATAGTTAACATTTTCAAATTGACTCAGATTTGGTTAGGAAATTGTCATCCTGAACTTAGTTTCAAATTGTTTCCGATTTTATTTTTTATATTCTTTGTATGCCTTCGTATAAATAACAAAATAACCCATAAGCAAATCCAGGGGTTAACGCGCCGAATGCTTTCGTGTACTAAACTGTTATACAGCTGCTTTCGTCATTACCAGTAACAGTTTGATAGCCACTTTTACTGCTATTCCAAAACACTTGGATTCAAACTAGAAATTCAATGTTAACTGGAAAGTGTAACATGTGGAAGGTAAGTTGAATAACGCAGGCAGTAATTGTGGAACATGTTTTACTTTCCGCAAGCCATTTGTCGGTCATGTCTTAGTTTTTCCAGCGCTGGCATTGCAGATGGCAAAATGGTTGAATTGGCTGACGTCCGTAGTTAAAATATGTAGAAATGGTGGTACAAGTACCCAAGCATACTGTTGTAAATTATTGGTTACACGTATATCGCTCACACATAAGCATATGTGCTTATATTTAAATCAATGTAATGCTATAGCAGTACTTGTAAATGTAGTTTTAAAGCAATTGAAAGTGCAACAGAAGGAATTTTTAAATTAAAAAATACTGGCATTTTTCAAAATATATTTATTATAAAATAATAGCAAATTGAAAATATAGATATTTAAAGTTAAAATTATGTCTTTAATTCCAAAAATAAATAATGTTTTCAGTAGTATAAATATATGTATGTAAGCTGTATATTTATCAAGTTATCAACTAAAAATTAATTGATTACTCATGGAACCGTTTGATAGAAATATAAATGAAGGGCGAAAATGCGGAAAGGAAAGGAAATTTCGTTAAATTGAAGCTTAAAAAGTAGACCCTTACATAAAGTATATATATATAAATATATATATATACAATACAGTGCTTTGCAATAAAAGCATAGATGGCTAAAATGTATCTAAGCATGATATTAGATGACTTGCATTAACAGCATTGAACCAAAGGGTGTATGAAGAGTGAAAACCTTTATTATCGCCTGCAAAATGGCCTACATTTGAGTTGGTAAGGGCATGTCAATGACTTATGTAAATTTGCGTATACTTTTAAAGGGTCCAGCATGGTCTTTTGCTTTGTCAACGTATTTAATTTTGTAGTTTTCATAAACTCATGATGAATTTTTTGAAGCGAAAAATAATAATTTTCTGAAATAAATTTGTAGAATAAGCAAAAAGAGTAATATTATATTTATAATTATTAATCCATTTTTATATATTTGGGTAAGTCAAAAAAAAAACTTATACTTTTTTTTCTTAGATACCTTGAAAATGTCGTCCGAAGTGACGAAAAAAAATTATATAGCTTGAACTTTTAATATTTATATTAACAGGTGGCAAATTGTGATTTTCGATTTCCCATGTAAATAACACAGAAATATTTTCTGATTTTGTTTGAATGTTTAGTGCATGTGAATAAATTATTTTATAGTGAAAATGAAAACTTTTTGTAGAAAATTTAACGATCTTCAAAAAAAGGTTGGCCTACTGCCAAGTCGACTCGTTTAAAAGTTATTCGAGGTCCAAGTCCAACCTTACATTTTGAAAGATAATTTTTACAGTTTTTTATATATTTTTTTACAAAATAATGTCTCAAAATCATAAAATGTATATATTCTTTTCACGGTAACTAATGAAAAATAAAAATAATTTTTTTTTGTTCTTATCTAATATTTATTCTAATACAATTTATACTTAAAAATTAACAAATTTTTCTCCACCTTTTCGACAATATTATTTTTAACTAAAGAGCAAGCTTGTAATGATCTTACGATGTTTTCGGAATCTTTCGTAATGCTACCGCGTAAAAAAAACCAACTCTAAAATTTCGCTTATTCTTTAAAATTAAGATAAAAGAGTTGGTACGAATATAGTAAAAGTATTACACATATTTCATTTAGCAGCGTAATTTAAGAAGACAATTTCTATAAGAATTTTAGCACTTTATTATATATGCCATACCAACCAACTTTTATTCTGCCTGTGAATGCCCCTTCGGCTCTGACGTCACGTTTTCGCCATTTGTCGCTTGATAAATTTACAACTAAGAACGGCACTTGCAGTGAGTAATGGCAGGCTTTCACAAAATTATATGTATGTATACGAATGTAGCACAAATTTGCCATGAAAAAAAACCATATGGCATACCTGCATATGCACATCCGTATGTATATATATTGAGCAGGATTTTTGTTACAGCAACCAAATTTGCATGAAGGATGCTCTCAGAAATTTTTCATACTTTAGTAAACATTTGAATATATTTATCGGCACGTATTTATATAATATATGTATGTGTGTGTCTTTATGTATTTGCATATGATCTGTTTAACTTTCAATATTTCCCTGCGATGATAATACAATATACATAAAATATGTATGAATGTGACAGCGAGTTTAAATAAGGTGACATTAGTCTTAAGGATGATAATGAATTGTTAAAATGTAAACAAAATATTGAATTAAAATTTTATATATATATATATTCTAAACATAATAATTTTGGGTACATAAATATTAAAGAACACACTTCGTACAACCGCTTCAAAGGGTGCTTTTTGTTAAAGAAAATTGCTGCATAAAATATCTTAAACATTTTATAATGAACATATACATAAATAATGAACATTCACAAAAAAAAGTAAGTTAATTCTTAGCGATTAACTCGCAATATTGTTTGAAAACAGGAATTAAAAAATATTATTAATCCGTAAGGTATTGTCTACGCAACAACCTACGATTGTTTGTAAAAAATGTTACTTAACAATATAGCAGACTTTGAGAAAGAATGTTGAATTTTGCTCTAAAATAATATTATTTTTTGCCCTTCAAAATTACATTTTTCATACAATCAACTATACAAAAGTAGAAAAATAAAAATGATCGGATGACCGAAACACATTTATAGATAAAAAAAAATAAAAAAAAATTTAAATTTTCCGATGCTAAAACTCACTATGGAAGTCGCATGGTAAAAATTTTTTTTTTGAATTAAGAAAGAATCTTATCATCATTATATCATATTCTCATGTAATTCATGAATACAAAGAAGCGTTATCTTCAAACTACGAAAACACATAATAAAATATCCTTAAATATAATAACAATTAACTTAACCACCAGGTGTCTGACAATATTCAAAATATTTGATATTTGAATATACCAAGTTTCGTATTGGCCTAAGAAAAGGCTTGTTTGACATAAACGTACACCGAAATTCAACAACCTTTCCTACATAAAAAGAGTTGACAGGGTCGTCTTATTCAATAATGTTAACTACAGGCATCTTCTAAAGAAATTCACTTCATATTTTTTCTCTTAAATCCACAGTCAATATCTTAGCTATAGTTTATGACAAATTTTAAAGGCTTTCCGGGTATAATGAATAGCTTTATAAATAACTAAGGACACATTTGAATTGTCTTTCTAAAAATCTATTTGATGTCGATGATTAGGTCAGCTTAGAATTCTCAAAAAATCTAGTTGTTTTGATTTAAAGTACAATTTAAAGTCCTAAATCATTACCATATTGCTATAATACTGAAGAATTTGTTTCCCTTTCCAATTCGCTGTAGAATTAAAACCGTCAGCATTGAGTCTTCAGCACGTAAAATTGCAAACGTTTTATCTCGAAACTGGATTTTTCAAATCGGCTGACGATGATACACCTAGTCACCGCGTCATCTTCACCTTCACATACATGTTATGTAAACTATCCAAAATTTTTTAACAATAATTTATTTTATGCGGTAAAAAATTTTACGACAAATTGATGTAAAGCCAAAAACATATATGTTAAAAAAGGTGGTTCCGAAGATGAAATCAGTAACTGTTATATTACTGCAAACTGACAAAGGCCTGTAGAGGAGATACAAGAATAAATTGTAAAAATTAGACACCTTTTGAGAGCTCTAGACTGGTCTTACTCTTTAT